TTGTAACTGGAATTTTCCTTCTAATAGTAGTAACATAAAATTTGATAAAATGTTTAATCTAATCGTAAATTGTCCTTAAAAGGACCATAGTTTCAGTAGGCCTATGATTCCGAATTATGAGCAGGAGTGTACGCTGGTCTCTTCTAGATTTAATTTTCCCAAGTTATTTCAAAGACTTGAATCTGACAAGTGAAGGCAGTATATCACAAGATAAAGTAGTCTCTTCTAGGTTTCATATTCCCAAATTATTTCCTGGGTATCTGTTCAAGAAGAGAAAACCTTAGAGGCAAAGTTCAAGTCACTAAAACAATTGCTTGTTTCATTTGCGTAGTTGATAGCACTAGGTGAGTGCATCGTGTATGAAACTAGATAAATACTATCTACCAAAGAAAGTGGTTTTATTATAGATTCTTATCTTGCAAGTGTGGCTAGTGATAGTACATGCTCATTTATTTATCGGCCAATAGAATTTAGCAGTTTCATTTTTTTTGGTGTATGCCTTGCTTTATTGGCCCTTTTTTCCCTCAACAAACTTTAAGCTGTGATATATGTTTCAAACCCTCCATGCCCCCGTTTCTATCTCAATTTACAACAGTTAACCGGTCCATTTCATTCATAGAAAATCCTTTGACAGTGCCACTCTTTCATACAAAGTTTATGTTGTATCACGTTACAATTTCTACTATTTGAATAACTGGAACCTTGCTTGTTTTGTTCAAATACATTGCATGTGTCCAGTATTTGCACTATCATCTTGCCTTTGGTTTGAAGGTTTGCCACAATCGAGTATTGGTGATGGTGTGATTGAAACAGCATCGACCTCATTGGCATTGATCTCGACGAGGACGACACATGTCTTGATGGCCTCAAAACATATTTTGTAATGAGATAGCTATAATGTTTCTTCTAATGTTGCTATAATGTTTGTATAGGCTCCCAGCAGAAAAAATGTTATTATAGGTTGTTATGGTTACATGTGGTTCCTGTGATGTTGTAATGGTTGTCTTGATGTGACTTTCATGATGGTTAATTTCTGATTGTTGTACTTTTACTTAAGTCCGGTTTTATTCTTTAGTGCACATACGTATGAAGCTTCACCCAATAGGTTTAAATGCTAATGGGCCGCTCCAAAATAATTGGGCCAATGATAACATGGGACATAACTAAAATTCATGGGCTAACACCCTAAGTGGGCCAATTACTAGACAACCTAAAAGTGATCTAAGTTTTCGAGTGGGCTGATAACTATAAAGGCTGCCACGTCAGATCCCTGTCAGCTGCGACATGGCATGCAAGTTAACGCTGTTACTTGGCAGTGATCGGTGACAGTCAAGGACTGTCATAGATTTGTGACAGTTTTGTTGTTCCGTCAGGAAGTGGGTGGTGGTCAAATTATGATGCGACATACATGATGGATTTCAAATCCGTCGTGTATGCCCTTCGATGACAGTTTTGTGCTTGTGTGTGACGGCTTGAATCTTTCATGGATTAACGGGTTTAATTCCTAGTATGGCGAAGAAAATTTTTAAGAACGGAAGTAAATCAAAGGGGAAGGAGGTGTCAACTGCAGAGTCCAAGAAGGCAAGTGTTGTTCTACAGGAGCTAGCAGCTGGGCATGTGAATTCGAAGCTCCCCTCTATAACACACAAACTGCCTCTACAACACACAAACTTCCTGATAAAAAATGCAAGAAAAGAATTTCTTTTGCCAAGGAAACATTTTTTGCCGAAATAGGAAAAAAGGTGCCAAGCCATGCTGTTAAGATTGCATCAACCAATTAAAAGGAGTCTGTCAGTATGCCATGTAGCAAGTTAGCAACTCCAACACCTTCTATGTCAACTCCAGCTTCAAGTGAGCCAACTGTTGGTCCAAATATGCCAACTGCAACATCCACCGTGCAGGATACATCAGTGATTAAGGAAAGTCTAACAACCACTGTGCCAACATCAAGAGGAAGTGATGCATCTGAAGTTTCATCTGTCCTACCCCTATCAGTAACTATGGCACCCCCAGCTGGCAGTATGCCAACCCCAAAACCCATATTGCCAACCCAAGCAGTCACTGTGCCCGCCCCAATAGTCAGTGTGCCAACTCCAGCACACCTGTCAGCAGATATCATCAATATTGTGCAGGCTCAGCAAGACAACAACTACCTTTGCCTAAATTTCATGCTCTTGATCAACAGTGCACCCTTACAAAGGAGGAAGTATATAACCTTGTTTTCAAGTGTGTACCACCAAGACCGTTGCCAAGCATAATTCCACGAACCGTCAACGGGTGACGCACCCAAGGATCTGCAAGAAGGCAACAACAGTGTGCATCCCATTCATAGAGCATCCTCGGCAATATCATATCATGGAGATGGGTTCTGCGGCGCTCCACCATTTGACTTGGGTTTGGATTTTGATGATGACTCCCCAGTTGCCGCATTTGATGAGTTGAACAAATCACAAGTGACACCACAAAAGGTAGGATTATCTAAAGGCAGCGAGCAGGATGATTGTGATTTGACAACTGTGTGAGAGGTTTGTGTTGCTGCAGATATGGTTGTCTGTGGGAAGGCACCCATTCAGACCTCTCCTTCGGCTTCTCCAGATGAGTTTTACACCCAAATGTCATAGCTGCTCTAAGGGGTGCAAGTGGGTCCGACACAACTACATGTCGCCCACCAGTTCAAAAATGCGGCAGGAGGATAATCAAGCCAGCTGCTGTCTAGAGGTGTCCCTACATCGACTACGATAGAATAAAGACATTTACTTGTGGTGAACAAGTCAACAAGCTTTAAATGGCAGTCCTCTACTACGTAAGGAATACACCTGGAGCAAACAATTCAGAAACGAGGTAAAATACTACATTGTGGTAAATTTGCAGTCCTTTTTTTTCTTAGTTCATGTGTTGTACAATTAAATTAGCTTTTAAGTTGCCCAATCAGTCTTTATCGTTGCAATTTCATGTAAGTTGCACATCTGGCCTACACACCTTAACAGTAGTTACTCATTTCCTTCTCTTTTTTTCCTTACCTCAAGCATTTTAATTTTGATTTGTTCTTTGTTTGTCCTCAATATTTTTGCAAAGAACATTGAGGTAGTTATTCATTTTTCTTTAGTTGTTGCAGAATTAATTCAGCTCCTTAGTTGCAACAATCAGTCTTTGTAGCTGCAGTTTCATGTAACTGCACTTTGCACAACAAGAGTAATACAGTTGCACATCAGGCCTGGACACTTTAACAGTAGTTACTCATTTTCTTCACATTATGCCTTACCCGAATCATTTGTTCTTTTGTTTGTCCTAATTTTTTTGCAAATAGTCTTGACATCATAGACTGTGATGGGTTTTTCGTGACCAAAGAGCTAGATTATTCAATGAAGCCAACCAAATGGCTATCAAACACTATTGTCGAAGCTGCACTTATCCAAATCAAGAAAACCCTACCTAGTGACTCGAAGAAGATTATCATGGCATTGAGGGTTGCCGTAAGTTGAATGAGAACTTTTTTTGTTTTGTTTCACACAACCCTCTTTTTAATTTTTTGTAGTGTGTTTTGAGATCCATCTTTCCAATGCAGACACAGTTGCAGGAAGGAATATACAACGTTGTTGAGATACAAGCTAGATTTGAGAAGACTAAACATCTAGACGGTCAAGATATGGTCATTTTTTCTGGCCACATGATCTTTTTAGAAAAAAATCATTTGTTTTTGCATAATTCTAGTTTTTCATCCCATCCTTTTTATCTCTTCTGCCTTATCTTTTAGCATACTCCCATCTCCGCCATTAGGCTGCTCTATGAGAGCCACACAACTGACGTCTCTTCTTCACCTCCTTGCCCCTGCCCACTCATCTCTCTCCTCAATGATCGTGGCCATCCCCTGCAAGCTTGAACCAGCCCCCGCCCACATGGACGAGCTATGCGCCTCATGGTGCGCGAAGCGGCCGGTGCAGAGATGCAGATGGGTGGCGACGAGGAACAAGCGGAAGGACGGGAGTGCTACAACCCGCGCCTGGTGGAGATGCAACCGTTGGGTGGCCGTGCTGGAACCGCAAAGTACCGCCGCTGCTACCCGCCACCACCGTCGACGGGACAATTTTTTTTCTACAACCATCATCGGCAGAGTTGCAACCGATGAGTTGTAGAGCTGGAACCAACGTCCACCAGTCCTGAAACCGGACGCACCTCCCATGGCCGTCGTGATTTTTGCTGGAACTAGCTTTATGCTTTGATGGAACTTGATGTTTTTTTTTTGCTACATCGACTTTTCTTTTGGAATTTGCTTCCTGTGATTTTTATTCGAACCAATGTGGGTTTGCTGGAACCAGCTATATGTTTTGATGGAACGTGTTAGTGTTTTTGCTACATTAACTTTTGTTGGTGGAATTTTTTTTCCTGTCATTTTGGCTGCAACCGGTACTATTGTTAGCTGGAACCGGCTAAATTCTTGCTTCAATTTGATGATTGGGGGTTTCTTACTGAGATTGTTTTGTTGGATCACAGGAGTGCTAGTCGATGGTGGCGGCAAGCCAGAGACAATGACACCACAGATTTTCCTACAACAACACGATCCGTGCGCTGCAAGGTTCGGAGTGTTGGGGACGAAGCAGGAGATAAGATTTGAACGGTTAGAGTGGAACCATCGAACGGGCAGGGTGCGACCGGCCCAATTTTGGGCCGGCGCAAAAGGGACGCTTGAAGGCGCGAATGCTATATACCAGGATATGGATTTACACATGAACCATTCCACTTTAACATTGATCTGTTTTATTCTGAAGAAAACAATCTCTGAAAATTACATCATTGAACATTGCAAAGGGAAAGCAAAAAAAAAAATGTTACACCATCGATTTGATTTATGAAAAAGCCACAAAACAGGCATAAACAACGGGACACCCTTGTTAGCTAGCCATCTTATTGCTGGAACGGCAGAAAAGGTAGGAAATCAAACACTTTGATGATTAAAAGGAACATGCAGGTAGCTGCAGGCAGCAGCACGGTCGAATACTGAATTATTTAGGGATTGTGTAAACACCAATCCTTGTGATGAAAACATTTAGAGTTTCTGCAAAGAAGCCCACCACGGTCGCATTCTCCGGCACGGTATAGCTGAATGCTTGGCTGGGGATAGTTCCGAAAGGACCATACGTATTGGTGTTGGTGACGATCTTAAGTTGTGATAGCCAGGATCCCAATGTCCCAGCCCCACTGATCTGCTTCACAAACTCTGATGGGCCAAACTTTATCTGTAAAACAACACAAAATTAGTGAACAGGAAATTAGATATATCATCAAGTATTTATTAGGTGGCATATGTATATATAGCTACTAATTCCATCCCTCCAAAAAAGATATAATTCTAAAATAGTGTTAGGTCAAACTATCTTAATTTATATAAAAAGATATTACCTTATATCATTCTACTAAATAAGCAAGTATGCCTACACTCTCTGTTATATGGACTTTTATTTCATATATAGGTCACAGTGCTTTAAGTCAAACGTTACTATCTTTAATCATCTAATCAATTTCAAAACATCCTTATAGTTTTGCAACATATATACATACATATATATATATATATATATATATGTGTGTG